GTCGAAAATATCACTTTTTACCAAAAATATTCACCAAAATTAGAGAATTAAAGATATCATTGCAAAATGAACAAATCTGAGAGAGGTCCACATGTAGTACCTATATATGTAATATCAAAGCAATTGCACTTGCGGTTTTTAACAAGAAGTCGAAAATATCACTTTTTACCAAAAATGACAAAAATATTCACCAAAATTAGAGAATTGAAGATATCATCACGAAATGAACAAATCTGAGATAGGTCCACATGTAGTACCTATATATGTAGTATCAAAGCAATTGGACTTGCGGTTTTTAACAAGAAGTCGAAAATATCACTTTTTACCAAAAATATTCACCAAAATTAGAGAATTAAAGATATCATTGCAAAATGAACAAATCTGAGAGAGGTCCACATGTAGTACCTATATATGTAATATCAAAGCAATTGCACTTGCGGTTTTTAACAAGAAGTCGAAAATATCACTTTTTACCAAAAATGACAAAAATATTCACCAAAATTAGAGAATTGAAGATATCATCATGAAATGAACAAATCTGAGAGAGGTTTACCCAAGGTACATATACACTAAGTATCAAAGCATTCAGGCTTGTAGTTTTCAAGAAGAAGTCGAAAAAGTAAAGCATTGACACAGACGACGGCGGACAATCACTCATATGATAGGCTCCGCTCGACAAAGTCGACAGCGAAGCTAAAAACTGAAAATGTACTCAAATTTTTTGTTGGCTCCAAAATTAAGGTTTATTTCCAGAAATATTGAATACAAGCAGCCTGTCGGCTGAGATAGCTCCGCTGTTAGCAATGCACATGGCAATTAAAGAACAGAAGATATCATTAGAAAATGAACAAATCTGAGAGAGGTCCACATGTAGTACCTATATGTATAATATATCAAAGCAATTGAAGAATTGAAGATATCATCACGAAATGAACAAATCTGAGAAAGGTCCACATATAGCATCTATATATGCAATATCAAAGCAATTGGACTTGCGGATTTTTAAAAAGAAGTCAAAAATATTCATCAAAATTAGAGAATTGAAGATATCATCATGAAATGAACAAATCTGAGAGAGGCCTAAACCAGGTACATACACACCAAGTATCAAAGCATTCAGGATTGTAGTTATCAAGAAAAAGTCGAAAAAGTAAAACATTGACACGGACGACGACGGACAATCACTCATATGATAAGCTCCGCCCGACAAAGTCGACAGCAGAACTAAAAAGTGCAAAATATTTGGGCGAGAAAGACTGTAGGTGAAAAGGTTAAAAACACCTAACTCTTCATCACAAATTTTTCTGTACTGTAGAAAAAATTTAAGACATTCACAGCAAGTAACACAAGTAACTCTTTTCCTCTTATTTTGACCAGATATTGTATCTAGATTTAGTTACAAAGAAAAATCATGCTTTTTCAGTGTCCTACATTGAGGATCCAAGAAACTGGCTCAGTCATAGTAATTTGATTATATGTTAGATAATTTCTTTAAGCAAATGATCTTCCAGACAAGGGTGATCACAGATCACTACTGTGGTTGTTAATCTGCATAATGCAAATATGTGATGCAAACAAGATGGAAAAGCAATAAATGTGAGTCCAGAATGCAATCAATAGGTAACACAAATGTGATAATGCATAGTGTTAATGCAAAGATCATGACAGCGAAAGTCCTACTGTATGCCAAGGACTACACAAAATATCTAGGATGCCTTATTTTTCATACACTCAGACAATTTTCTATAGGCTTCACTTGATACTGGTAGCGACATGGCACATGGGCAGGAAAAACAAATTCAGTATCTTTGATCAATAGCTGGCAAGATTCTGTTTCGATCTGTTGTCCAGAATCACCCCGGCAAATACAAAGTTTGATTTCAGGAAGATATCAAATTACCAGTAATACACTAGTGAGTGACTATGTTACTCCAAAAGGTCATTCCAGGAGGAGAAAAATAAAAATGATTGCAAGTGAAGAACTCTGTTTATATAAGCATCACAAGTTGACTAAATTATATGCTGGGCTGACAAATAATAGCACACAAGCATGGAGATTGATGCAGCTATGCAATGAGTTCATACATCAGTGTGGAATAGCTTACCTGAGTATCTAAAACAACTCTTGCAATGGCAGTTTGTACAACATTAGTACGATCCAGACAATCCATACAGTTTACACGAAACACATTACGTTGATCACAAATAATTCCCTTTCTGTCAACCCTGTGAAAGAACATCAATTTCTAGTTATTGTAATCACTGATTGGTCCATACATGATCGGGAAATAATGTCAACAGATGCAAATACCGAAACCACAAACATAAGCGCTCATTTTAAACTACGTCCAACAGGGACAAAAAATAAAAACAAGTAAATCATGCTATTTTAATAAACAATCAGGATATTTATTCCAAAACACACTCAGCATCATAGTTAAATTAAGCCATATAGCCTAAAGTAAAATTGAGTACAATTGCTTTCAAATTGCTTTTGCATGACAACATAATTTTAAATTTCTTTTCCAAGACCTCACCAACAGATTTGGGATATTTCAGACTTTTACCAGGTTTTTTAAGACCTTTTTAAGAGATTGAAGACTTTTTCAAAAACCCTGTCATGGTATGGTGAAGGAGAACTCTTATAATAGCATTATTAGTGTGCGAATACATCTGTCTGTGTGATATGTTAGTCACTTAACCTATACTGAGACACACATGCTGGCCTCCCACGCTAATGCTGCATCGCAATCATCTCCCTAAGGCAACTCCATATGCCACAGTAGAACATGTATTTCAATCAAAATCCAAAACTCATTAGTACAAAATAATGTATTCATATAGTAACACAAAAATCAACATGAACACTACCGGTACTGTAACTTGGTCTATCACAATCATTCACCACCTCATCTGGAATTCTGGTACTCATTTGTTCTTAATGACTATAAAGTATTAGTTTTGAACATAGACTCTGCAAATACATGTATTTATCAGCATACATGCACACTACTGTCATATTTTTAATGATAGATGAGTGTTGAAACATGAGACATATGGTTTATGCATGTAATAACAACAATTCTTAATTTATATTTATCATATGCATAACATGAGATGAGAGGCAGAACAGGACTGGTCATAAATGCATGTCACATACTGGCAAACTTGTGTGTTCATTTTCAGAATTATTATTAAGCCGCTCAAACGAACTGGTTGAAATAGTGAAAAAAATTCCTAGCAAATGGAAGTGAATATTATGAATGGGCCACATAGTGTACACAAGCCATTTGAGTGAACACCATTGTACCAACAAAATTACCACATTCAACACTCGTAATGACATATTTTGTATTCGTTATTTCAGCAATATTCATAGTTCCACTTACATGTACAACAGCTGCCATTTCATTTTTTAGGATTTTGGAAATATGCATGTGATTAATATATAGGCAAACAATATTTTCACATTAATAGCTAGGCTGACATAAGCAGACACTCTAGACTAGACTAGCATCAATCTTCACCTATGACGCTTATTGACACAAAACTCTGGCAAAAATCACACGTGTCTGCTGATATCAACCTATCAGAAAATATCATGGAATTATACATGTATACATTGTATATGTACAAAAGGAATGAATTTTAGGATATTGAGGGGTTAACTTACCAGCAGTATCGCATGTCTTTGATGATTTCTTTAATACTTTCTGTTAACACAGACACATTCTCAAACTTCATACCTCGACTGAAAAGGAAGACAATCAAGAAGTGATTGGGATCAACAGAAAAGGAAGTTGTATCGAGAATATAGGATTGAAATAGAATAAAGTCAAACCAAGACTGAAGTTGATTATCAGTACAGAAGAGCTTGTCTGAACACTTTTTGAAAATATCGTTTGGTTTACGAGTGATCAATATGTTACATTCAAGTTTTTTCAACAATCGCTGTGTGAAATTGCCACAATGACAGATAACTCTATAGTCACGCATTTATACATTGTATATCAATAAAATGGGTTTTAAGCATTCCTTAAATGCCAAAACATTGAATTCCAAGAAATGGCCAAAAAACAACCAACCAGAGTTGAAAATGCTATAAACAAAAACTTTATTTATTTATTTAGTTTCACAGGAAGTATCTGTTACAGTAGTGAATGAAAAAAGTGAACAGCCACAGTTAGAGCAATTAACATACATCAGAGGACATCACTGTGTGCCACTGTTTTCCCAGTAACTCATTTTCAACAGTTGTCCTAATTGGTTTTACACATTATCGATTAAAAGTCAGACATTGGAATAATGCTACTTTGTAATTATTTTTTCAAAATACAACATTGTCAATAGGCAACATTCAAATTTAAGGATAGGCATAACACAATATCTCTGTTGTGCGTTTGAGTTCTTTCTATTGTCTATCGTTAAATAATATTAATATTCCTGACTGAAAACCCTCTAATTTGCATTTGGATTTGGTCTTTTTTGAATATGAAGCTCAATTCGAGCCTGAAATCTGAATCACTAGATGCAATATGAAGCTACATCCACTCACATCTGTGTGATTTATCCACTATGGGATACCCACAAACATAAACTTTATTTTAGCTGTCATTTATTTTGACTGCAAACAGCAACACAGTGCATGCAGCTTAATGCAGCTGAGCTTTACTGATTTCCATTACAAGGAAAAGTTGTTTAAATTTGGCTTTACCTCTCAAACGAATATAGCAAAACAACTAGAAAGTAGGGATTAACAAAATTACACAGTAAAGAAAAAACATTCTTATAACATACTCACCAGTATTCATGGAAATCAAAACTGACATATGTGAGCAGAGGACTATTATAATTGAGTATATAATGTACAAATGCATCTCCTATAATCTGCTCTCTTCCTGTCTGATCAACCAGGTTTATTATGGCAACCTTCTTGTAAATGTTCAACTCTCCATCAAAATGTCTCCTGAAGGCATTATCTGTGTCTTCTTCGCCTAAACCACAACAAACAAAATCTCAAAACTATATTCAATTATAACTGATGAACCTACAGTATCACATTGAATGAGAATTTGGTTTTATGTGAGATAGTAGAATCAAATTCAAGCAGTGAAATATTCATGAACACTGTTTTTCACATTTATTTTGGTTAACCATAGAGTATTTTAGACGGCAATGTGAAAAACTGACAAAAAATTCACTAAATTGTGGATTAGTTTATTTTGGCAAAATTTGATTGCAAATTAGCAACTTCATAAACAAATTTAATAGTTATTATATACATAATGTTTCAAAATTAAATAAAACCTGCTCACACAACACACATTAACCATCAAGAGCAAGATACCAGGAATAGATTACCACATTTTTAATTAACTTACTGATAATTGAATGATCATAAAATCAACAAACATTTATACATCTACATCTGTCAATAAATGTTACTGTGAAATACTTTATTTTAGCTGGAAATAATTTTCGCTGAAAAGGCTTTTATTTTCACTGATGTTTGATAAGTTGAATGTGAAATATAGGAAAAAAAGTATATTCGCCAGATTTTATTTTCACGGAATAGCGAAAATAAATTCCAAGCGAAAATAAAGTAGTCTACAGTATTTATTGGCAAGTACGACAATGTATAGAGTATGTTTACCAACTATTTGCCAGTTTCTGCAATATAATATACATGATTGTACAATGTACATGTACAAGGATTTGTCAGTGTGGGTCATTTGGCATTGAACACAAAATAGATAGCAAGGTGCATAGATTAGGAAAATCGTGAAACGGTCAATGTCAACCAATAAATCACCCTCAAAATAAATCACCTTTTTTATTTTTGGCTTATCTATGTGAGATTTATTTAAACTGCAGGTTCTGTAAACTAAAAATAGATGGGAGTACAACATCACAGAGCATCTTTGTGCTAGCCCCTGCATTTCATAGTGTTCTAAAATTCAAGGCCACAAGAGCAATTGCCTTGGATTCCCCAATCTGACTGCTCTGATACCATCTTCAAAACAGCTATATTCAGTATGTTCTTCATATTATCAATTGATCAGAGGTATTTTTAGAAGCCTAGAAACTTTATGGAGGCACATCAAAGGCAATTGCCTTCATGCCGAATAAGTCACAAATGTAGTCTTGTAGTGCAAACTACATTTTCTGTCTACAATTTTGGTGCTTCAAAATATCAAATTCAATTCCTGATTAGAAAAGTGTACACGTCATTGTAGACATTAATACGATAGGAAATACTGAGCAAGTTGTAATGAATCTCAATTACCATCAACAGCAAATATGCAAAAAAATCATTTTTGATTGTAATAATCAGTACCTTTATCTAACCTAGGAGGCGGCCTGTATTTATAACCTGGCTGACTCCAAAATACCGGAACAGAACCTCTCACTTGAACAAATGCTACAGTATGGTGAGGAATGGACAAGATCTGTTCTGTTTCCACATAGTTCGCACAGGCACCTTTTTCGTCAACTCCTCTTCTTTTATATCTGGTTCCTACAAAGCATGGAGTATGAGATTGATAAATAAATCACATTTGTAACCATCTAACAGTGTAAAGAGATTAGATGTTCAAACCAACTGAGAATTCCACATGATCAGTGGTTCATCATTCGCTGCAAAACAAATGACCTTTGCAGAGGAAGTTGCTAAAGTAATCTCCCTTGCGGCTATGAATGAAGGAGTTTAGAAGATTATTGATTTCCCATGTAATGACAGATTGTAAAATTTGCAATGAAAGCATCCCTCAAGAACATGATCAACAAGGAAATCTGAGTGCAATATGAGGTTTGAAACGAGAATCTACTTCAATCTCGTTTTGTACCGCAAAAGATATTCAAAAGTCAGTGTTTACTCTTTAGCATATCTTACCTGCACGGTGTCTGCTTCTACGAGATATCAAACTTAATGTAAATTGTAATGGCTCTTGTAACATGGGATCATCAGCCTCTTCATCTTCACTAAAATCTAACTGACATTTCTCAATCTGCACAAACCCTTGTATAACAGGTACTCTCCAGTGATCTGATAAAGCAGCATCCTATCAAACGATAAAGAAAAAAAAATTTGATATGCTCAATTTACACAAAATCTTTCGTGCAGGTGACTGATTTTTTTGGTATGTTAACAGAATGTTAGCCACTTTTTCATCTTAAGCTAATAATGGTATTATTAATGAAAATCATTGTTTTAATTTGGCCAAAGACAATATACGAGTAATTCAAAAATATTTTTGAACCAAGAACAAACACTTAAATCAGTACTAAAGTGAAATTCGCCATAGCTTACCACTTGAACAAGCATGAGTGTATTGATATCAATTTATTTACAGATACAATTACCTATAATTGTTATGTAAATTATTTTCCTCCCAGTGAATAATAAGTCTTTTGGGTTGTTAGCCTTTTTTATTTATACATATAATTTATAGCGACACATTGGTGCCACATACCAAAATAGAAACCAAACAAGAATCCCACTGAGTATTATAGGAAAAAGTACGGTATTGTCTGTATGGGTGTTGAAATTGACACAGAGCAAGTAATCAGTGCAAGTAGCACGAGAAAAAAATGGTACCATTTCTAGTGCTGAAATGGTACTAAATCTAGTGATGAAATGATACTTGATCTAGTGTTGAAATAGCACAGTTTTAGAAGCAAAATGTGAGTGTCATTGCTATAGGGGTATGCATGTACAAGTTGCGTAATTATTGCCTCAAAATTGAAAGTGAAAAGATTGCAAGTTTATCATATCTCTACTGTTAATTTTGTACTTGTACAGAATCAGATGGAATTCCAAAAGTTAAGTTTATACACCTTGGTGACTGCTGGGGAGAGAGTTATAAATAGATTTTATGTGGGTGTAGGGAGCTCAAAGCACAAACTATTCTGTGACTAAACTAAACTGTGACACTTGATATTTTTTTTATAAAATGTAATTTTACTGAATAAATTTTATTGCATCCTCAGAAATACTACCTTTTTATCAGGCTAAAGCAATAAAGTAATAAAAGAAAGTTTAGTTAGTTAATATATAGCCAGATGTTTCATGATATCAAAGTATCATTTTTTGTTGCATCATTGGTAGTGAAAAGACTACCATGATAAAGTGACAAAAAAAAAACATACAGCTTTAAAATCCTTCCGAATGCCATTTTTTTCAATTTCACTGCTGTGCAAGAAGAGCAGAGAAGTCAAACTAAATTGAAGGACTTTAAGTTTCCCAAAGTTTTGTATTACCTGAAGCAATACAGCAACTTTTAACTTTTTCACCACTAGTTCTCTCTTTTCATCACAAATTCACAAAATAGTCCTGTTTAAACATGTAGTCCTTCAGAAGATTTGTACAAAAATGGCCAAAGTTTTTGAGTAAAAACTGAAATTTGCCTTAAATTTTGTTTGTTGGCTCTAAAATTAGGGTTCATTTCCAGAAATATTGAAGAATATGAGAAAAAAGTGCAGAAAAGTTTGGGTGAGGAAGTCTGGTGGTGAAAAGGTTAATGACCCAAACATGTAATTTGAACACAAATTGATGTATGATGAAATCATATTTTATGCACTGGCTGCTATATTCAATCTTAGATTATTGCAAATATTGTCAATTTAAAGCACGACAAGCAGCTGGTCAAAGTAAATGAACAAAAACATAAATACCTCACAATCAATGATATCTTGAATCATGAATTTATTCCAGAAGAACCTGTCATCAGGATTGAGTTTAAAAGAAGAATCTTTATCTTTATGTAGATGTTGCCTTTGTATGGAGTTGGTCAAGTCACCAGTAGGACTATAGTAGAAAGAATCATAATCACTGAACATCTTATGAAGTTCTTCTAGCACTCGTCTTTCAAGCTTTTCTCTGTCCTTTAACTCTTTCTGTGGCGAGAAAATGTAGCATGAGAAACAAATTTATGTCTAGAATATAATGTGAATGAAGGCAATAATGTCCTGTAAAACAGATTACGTTAAAGATGGAAGTGTCATGATGCAGGCATCTATAATAGAAGGGCTTCTAATAGATTAAATATGGTGATACTTGTGAGAATTTGTCTGATATTACTCAGATCCCATATATTCCTTATATAGTTTTAGTAGAACTACTTGTGTGTGTACAGAATGTATAGTACAAAATATCAAATTTCAAAATATGAATTTCACAATAAACCACTAGTTTGTACAAAAAAGTCACTTCTAATATTGAGAAGAGAATGATGTACCGGTATGTACTGTATCTACCGGTATCTCAGAAGTGCAATATGTGAAATTGAACGATTAAAGAAAATACATGTACACTTTACCTTACATGTTATGTTTATTGTTGCAATATATGATTATTTTAGCACTTGCAATACCAAGATTTATCCATAGTGAAGCTGTTAATGTATGCATACTTCTGGGAATGCACATGCACCAACATGAAAACAAATGGCTTTCACCTAGGTGGGGGCTTTCATAGACTTGAGATCACATACTCGTGTGTTTGGCTAAATACTTACTTTTGATACAGTCACTTGGAAGTAAAATATCAACATATGTCTGCATTTAGGGACGACGTCAAAAGATCAATGTCGGATAAAAAACTTAAGTTTTTTTCTAAACCCCCCACTGAAACTTAATTGATAAATATTGGTCATGGCATCACCATTAAATACAAATTGATAATCGGACAGTAGTATTGCATAGCAGTTGGTTGTCGGGTGGGTGTAAAAAGATTTTACAAATGCACCTCACTTGACGCACAGATTTACACTCAAACCAAACCATTTTTCTGTGTTTATT